CCCCCCCCCCCGGGATCAAGCCTGCCACCCGAGCATGTGCCCTAGACCAGAACTGAACCCGGGACCCTTCACTCCACAGGCCAACACTATCTACTGAACCAAATCTGCTAGGGATGTTCTTCCATCTTATTAAGCGAACCTTAATGACCAGCAATTATAACAATATGAAAGCTCTCTAAAATTTTTTTCTCTTTCTTTTCAATTTAGAAGTTTTTCCAATTCAAAGGATCCACCATCTGATCTTAATAGCAACTCAAACCAATAAGAACTGGGGATACAAGAGACATCCCCAAAGAAGAGTGCAAAAAGATGCAACCCTGCCCTAGGGTTTGGCTCAGTGGATAGAGCTGCGGCCTGCAGACTGAAGGGTCCTGGTTTTGATTCTGGTTGAGGGCACATGCTTGGGTTGTGGGCTCGATCCCCAGTAGGGGGTGTGCATGAGGCAGCTGACCAATGATTCTCACTCATCATTGATATTTCTATCTCTCTCCCCCTCTCCCTTCCTCTCCGAAATCAGTTTTTTAAAAAAGATGCAACTCTCATAAGATACAATTCACTCCCAGAATTAGAAACAGCCATTCTAAAACACAGGGAATCATGTATTCCCTGATGCCTTATTTATTTGTTTATTTTGGGGAGAGAGAGAGAGAGACAGAGAAAGAGAGAGAGAGAGAGATGAACAGAGAAAGAAACCTAGATTGTTGTTCCGCTTATTTATGCATTCATTGGTTGATTCTTGTATGTGCCTCGACTGGGGGTCAAACCCACAACCTTGTCATATTGCGACAATCCGCTAACCAACTGAGCTACCCAGCCAGAGCCAACTCTACTCCTTTTAATGGGGCTAGATTCACAGCCTACACAGGGCTTGCCAGATACATATGCATCCTTTGGTGCAAAACAAGAATGAGGAGCCCTGTTTTTACGATTTCTGGGAGAAAATGGATAGACACAGAAAACTCCCTTGAGAGCATGGCATGGTCTTAAAGCTGTGTTCTCAGAACATATAACAAAATGAAAGGAGAAACACCAGAGACAAAGAAAAACAGAATACAAAACCTATGTGTATTCATACCAAATAACCAAGAGTCACTAAGCCCAAGAAACTAGTTTTAAAAATACTTTCTCCTGCTAACCTAAATTTAGAAAAGGAAAAAAGGACTCTCACCACTCTAATCCACCAAACTCTATAGGTAGAGATCCGGGAGTTGGGCTTGGCAAGAATTCTTACCATGTTTTTGCTGGGCCATGTTAGAGGACCAAAGAACTTTCTACTGCAATAGCGTCGGGGTGAGCAGTAAATAGCCTGTGAGATATTCTGCTCACAGTGCTGTGTGGGAGGAAGAAACTTTCCTTTACCCTCAACGCTCTTTTGGCTGGTCTAATAATTAAATCTACATAAGACAGATTAATAAGAGAAAATAACCAAATTTAGTTATATATATAGATATGAAAACACCACATACATGAGAGGTTCAGAGACAAAAAGTTTAAATAAGGTTATATAGGGCGTTCTGAACTAAGGATGAGGCAAGAAACCTTTGGGCTTCAGAGGAGAGGAAGGTCACTGCAGAACGATGAAAGCAGATGTTCCATAATTAGAAGTTTACACTCCCTGCCCTGGCTGGGCAGCTCCGTTGGTTAGAGACTTGTCCCTGATACACCAAGGTTGTGAGTTCAATCCTCAGACAAGGCACATACAAGATTCAACTAATGAATGCATAAATAAGTGGAACAACAAATCGATGTTTCTCTCTCTCAAATCAATCAATAAATAAAAGAAGTTTGTCCTTCCCTTACAGATAGGTCATAAAAAGTTATTTCTGGTGATAACTGTTATTATGGGCAAGGCCCCTAATTTGAAATTTTAAAGGAGAGATAAAAGTTTCTTGTAAGCTCACAGGGTCACAACTGCCTTCACCTGAATATAATTTACATTCCCAAATGGCATGTCTTGAAGAGGCCTGTTCTGAACCCCTTCACTGGTATGCCAAACATGTTTTCCAAATTTTCTTCAAGGGTGATATGTTTATAGAGGAAATGACAACTTTTCAAACAGATCAAGGTGTATTATACATGTTACAAGTATTACAGCACAATAGCAAAAGTTAGTTATAAGTTACTGTCCAACCTGTTTCTGAGAAAACACAAAAGAAAGTGATTCAGAATTTACATGAAGAAATGTTTTTGATTTTTTTGTAGGATGAAGAAAGACCTTTCAATATTTTTTACTTAGATATATTTTAAGATTAAGATTGCTTGCTTTAAAAAAATAGTACTTACTGTGTGATTATGAGTAACTTTCATGGAAGCAGAATGCTCTGCACACTCCTTAGAAGTTCTATTATTTGCCAAAGTTGTATTTGAATCAACCATATCCACTAATGCGACACTCAGATTCACACGTAATGCATACAGAATGAAGAAACCAAAAAAGGCCAAAACTGCTAAGTTGTAACGAGCAGAGCAGCACACTGGAGCTGAAATAAAAGATTGGGGGAAAAGGTTCATTAAAAGAATAACAGATGATATTGACTAAATTACTAAAAAGGTTACCTTTTCCAAGTGCACAAATTAATAAATCATGAATATTTTTCTGAGAATATTCTCAGATTAAGCATAACATTTGTCAAAAAGAATTTGTTCCTGGTATCTGTAGTTAATAAACATTTAACACATGCGAGCCTATACTGTAAGAATTTCTTAAAACATGGAGGCAGAGGAGAAACCAAGATGGTGGCATAGGTAATCACCTATACTTGCTACCTCTCACAACCACACCAAAATTACAACTAAACGGCAGAACAACTACCACCCAGAACCGCGGGAAAGCTGGCTGAGTGGAAATTCTACAACTAGAGAGGTGAAGAAAGCGCATTGAGACTGGTAAGAGGTGCGGAGGTGTGGAAAGTGCTGGCACCTGGATGTGCTGTTCTTTAAACCGGGAGGGAGATACAAGCTCCCGCTTGCCCTGAATTCCAGTTACCGGCAAGACTCTGGGGGACCCAGACACATATGGGGAGAAACTGGACTATCTGGCATTGGGACAGGAATGTGAAGGCGACTTACTCTTAGAGGTGCTCGAAGCAATCATTGTTCCTGAACCGGTGCGCGGGACTTCTCTGTTCAGGGAAGCCATTGCTGTTTGCTCTACCCTGGTGATTCCCAGAGACCCTGCCCCTCCCAATTTACAACTCCACCCAAGCTGTGCGCCATTGGCTTTTGCATATGAATGGCCTGGCCTTTCGCCTAAGACAAACTGTACCTGGGTCAGAGAGTCCCAGAGATTCCAAAAGAACGCCCAATACCTGGTAGCAGCAGTGGCCTTGCGCCAAAGTTGGGCCTCGCCTGGGCACTTCCAAACTCCATACAAAGAAGAGGAATCTGCAGATATCTCTGTAGCTCCTGCTGGGGTGGGCCCCAGAACAGTGGGCTGACCTTGCAACTCCCTTTGGAGATGATAACGGATTACAACTCTTCACATCCATAAGAGACACACTCAAGGGGCAGACTCAGTGACCACCAAAGCCCTGCTGAAGCAAGTCCTGCCCCATAAGGGTGTCTCCTATGCAACAGATCTTCCAGTGTAGACACAGCTGGTCACCAAAGCCAATTGGCCTGGAGGTCAATTCCTCCCAGTGATACCAAGAGCAATTAAGGGTTAACTACAACAAGACTGTGCAAACATCCCACCAAGGGGTGCACCAAAGAGCATCCACCTCAAGTGACTGGGGAGGCTGAGCCACTGGGCCCTATAGGACACCAACCACACAAGGCCACTCTAACAACTCAAGGAGACTTAGCAGCTACCCAGTACATAGAAACAAACATAGGGAAGCAGCCAAAATGCGAAGACAAAGAAACAAGTCACAAATGAAAGAAATGGATGAAAGCAAAATACTGGGTATAGAGTTCAAAACCACGGTTATAAGGTTACTCAAGAATCTTCTAGAAACCTCTGAGAAATTTAGTGAGACCCTCAAGGATATGAAAAAGGACCAATCAGAAATTAAGCATACACTGACTGAAATAAAGAATAATATACAGAGATCCAACAGCAGACGAGAGGATCCCAAGAATCAAATCAAAGATTTGAAATATGAAGAAGCAAACACCCAACCAGAAGAGCAAAAAGAAAAAAGAATCCAAAAATATGAAGATAGTGTAAGGAGCCTCTGGGACAACTTCAAGCGTACCAATATCCAAATTATGGGGGTGCCAGAAGAAGAGAGAGAGCAAGATATTGAAAACATATTTGAAGAAATATTGACAGAAAACTCCCTCTACCTGGTGAAAGAAATAGACTTACAATCAGGAAGCACAAAGAACCTCAAACAAGAGGAATCTAAAAATCAAGTGAATAAAAAATCTGAAGAACAGAATAAACTGGTGAATATAACAGAATCAGGGGCATAGAAAGGGAGTGGACTGACAATTCTCGGTGGGGAGGAGGGGATATAAGGGGTACAGGAAGAGATAGGACAAAAATCTTACACCCATGGACGAGGACAATGGGGGGGGGGTAAGGGCATGGGGTGGGGTGGGAACTGGGTGAAGGGAAGCTATGGGGGGGGAAAAAGGAACAACTGTAATAATCTGAACAATAAAGATTTATTTAAAAAAACAAAAAACATGGGAGGCAATAGCTTTATCAACTTTGCTCAGAAAAATTTCCATTCCAGAATCAATACTGAACCCAATTCCTGCCAGCTGGCAAAAATATGAGAAAATTAGATGAGAGGGTTTAATGGCATCACTATTTCTAAAAAAACTATCTAAAACATGGCCAATAAGTACTTGAGTACTCGCTAGGGCATAGCATGTATTATACAGGTTAGTAGCCATCTCGTTGTAAATGTAGCATAGCATAAAAAGTTTACTGCCAAGGCTAAGGCAGGAAACTCTCCTTGATAAATTTCTTACCTTGAAAAACTTGCAGAATCTATGAAAATTGCAGCATATGTGGCAGTTGCTAAGTTGACCATGCTTATAGGGCCCACAGCAAAAAGGGAAATAAGTGAAGGTACTGCAATGCTTTAAAAAAAAAAAAGGCCAACAGAGTAGGTTGGAGGAGCCAGTGAAAGAAGGATCATGTGAGAGAAATCTGACCTATTTTTAACTTTAATTGTAGGCTTATGCACATATTTTTTCCTTCTTCATCTTTAAAATCTTTATTGTTGAATTACAGATGCTGCCCTGTTTCCTCTCTCATTGCCCTCCTCCACCCTGATCCCAACCTGCCCTAGGTTTTCATCAACCTATTGTCTGTGTCCATAGGTAATGCATATATACATATAAGTTCTTTGGTTAGTCTCTTCCCTCCTTCCCTCTGAGATTCATCAGTCTGTTCTAGGTTTACATGATTCTGGTTCTGTTTTATTCATCAGTTTATTTTGTTCATTAGATTCCTTGTTTATTTTGATTTTTAGATTCTATTGTTGCCATTTTATTGTTCATATTTTTTATCTCCTTTTTCCTTTTCTTTTTTTTTTTTAAGAATTGGGCCTAACTCAGACCTTTCAACTCTATTTTTTAAAAATATATTTTTATTGATTTCAGAGAGGAAGGAAGAGGGAGAGAGAGATAGAAACATCCATGATGAGAGAAGAATCATGGATGGCTGCCTCCTGCAAGTCCCCCACTGGGGATTGAGCCCATAACCCGGGCATGTGCCCTTGACCGGAATCGAACCTGGGACCTTTCAGTTCGCAGGCCAACGCTCTATCCACTGAGCCAAACCGGCTAGGGCTCCTTTTTCCTTTTCTTAAAGAATACCCTTCAACATTTCATGTAATACTGGTTTGGTGGTGGTGAATTCCTTTAGCTTTTTGTCTATGAAGCTCTTTATCTCCAGTGGTTCTCAACCTTCCTAATGCCTCAACCCTTTAATACAGTTCCTCATGTTGTGGTGACCCCCAACCATAAAATTATTTTCGTTGCTACTTTATAACTGTAATTTTGCTACTGTTATGAATCGTAATGTAAATATCTGATATGCAGATGTATTTTCATTGTTCTCGACCCAGAGGTTGAGAACCACTGAATTCTAAGCAATAAAGCTGGGTAATCTTGGTTGTAGGTCCTTGGTTTTTATCACTTTGAATATTTCTTGCCAGTTCCTTCTGGCCTGCACAGTTTCTGTTGAAAAATCAGCTGATCAATGTATGGGTGCTCCCTTATAGGTTACTAACTGCTTTTCTTTCACTGCTTTCAGATTCTCTCTTTGCCTTTAACCTTTGGCGTTTTAATTATGATGCATCTTGGGTGGGCCTCTTTGGGTTCCTCTTGTTTGGTACTCTCTGCACTTCCTGGACTTGTATGTCTATTTCTTTCACCAGGTAGGGAAGTTTTCTGTCATTATTTCTTCAAATAGGTTTTCAATTTCTTATTCCCTTTCTTCTCCTTCCGGCATACCCATGATGCGAATGTTGGTACCCTTGAAGTTGTCCCAGAGGCTCCTTACACTATCTTCATATTTTTGGATTCTTTTTCTTTTTGCTCTTCTAATTGGGTATTTTTTTACTTCCTCATATCCCAAATCACTGATTTGATTCTCTGCATCCTCTACTCTACTGTAAATTATCCTTCATTTTTTTTAATTAAATCTTTATTGTTCAGATTATTACAGTTGTTCCTCTTTTTCCCCCCATAGCTCCCCTCCACCCGTTCCCCCCCCCAACCCTCCGCCCTCACCCCCCCCACTGTCCTCATCCATAGGTGCACGATTTTTGTTCAGTCTCTTCCTGCATCCCCCACACCCCTTTCCCCCCCAAGAATAGTCAGTCCACTCCCTTTCTATGCCCCTGATTCTATTATAATCAGTTTATTCTGTTCATCAGATTATTTATTCACTTGATTTTTAGATTGACTTGTTGATAGATGTGTATTTGTTGTTCATAGTTTGTATCTTTACCATTTTCTTATTCTTCCTCTTCTTAAAGGATACCTTTCAGCATTTCATATAATCCTGGTTTGGTGGTGATGAACTCCTTTAGCTTTTTCTTATCTGTGAAGCTCTTTATCTGACCTTCAATTCTGAATGCTAGCTTTGCTGGGTAAAGTAATCTTGGTTGTAGGTTCTTGGCATTCATCACTTTGAATATTTCTTGCCACTCCCTTCTGGCCTGCAAAGTTTCTGTTGAGAAATCAGCTGACAGTCGTATGGGTACTCCCTTGTAGGTAACTGACTGTCTTTCTCTTGCTGCTTTTAAGATTCTCTCTTTGTTTTTTGCTCTTGGCATTTTAATTATGATGTGTCTTGGTGTGGTCCTCTTTGGATTCCTTTTGTTTGGGGTTCTCTGCGCTTTCTGGACTTGTAAGTCTATTTCTTTCACCAGGTAGGGGAAGTTTTCTGTCATTATTTCTTCAAATAGGTTTTCAATATCTTGCTCTCTCTCTTCTTCTGGCACCCCTATAATTCTGATGTTGGTACGCTTGAAGCTGTCCCAGAGGCTCCTTACACTATCTTCGTATTTTTGGATTCTTTTTTCATTTTGCTTTTCCGGTTGGGTGTTTTTCGCTTCTTCGTATTTCAAATCGTTGACTTGATTCTTGCGATCCTCTAGTCTGCTGTTGGGAGTCTGTATAATATTCTTTTATTTCAGTTAGTGTATGCTTAATTTCTAGTTGGTCCTTTATCACAACCTCGAGGGTCTCATTAGATTTCTTGTAGGTCTCATTAAGTTTATCGGCAGTTTCTAGAAAATTCTTGAAAAACCTTAAAAGTGTGGTTTTGAACTCTATATCCAGTAGTTTGCTTTCCTCCATTTCTGTCATTTGTGTCCTGTTTCTTTGTCTCTGCATTTTTTTATGCTTCGCTGTGTTGATAGAGTGGCTTTCTGTACTAGGTGTCCTATAGGGCCCAGTGGCTCAGCCTCCCCAACTACCTGAGGTAGACACTCTTGGTGCACCCCCTTGTGGGCTTTGTGCACAGTCTTGTTGTAGTTAAGCCTTGATTGTTGTAGGTAACATTGGGAGGGATTGACCTTCAGGCCAATTGGCTGTGAGAATCAGCTGTGTCTGCAGTGGGAAAACTTCTGTGCTGGAGACACCCCTCTGGGGCAAGACTTGCTTCAATGGGGCTTTTGTGCTCACTGAGTCTGCCCCCTGAGTGTGTCCTTTATGAATCAGAGGAGCTGCAATCTGGATGGTCCCACTCTGACCACCGGGCACACTGGCTCCTGGATCT